TGTGTGTGTGTGTGTCTCACAGTGATTGCAGGTTGTGCAGGTTGTTGAAGGCCTCAGCAGGAACCGACTTCAGCTGGTTGTTCTGAAGCATTCTGGGAAAAACACAAGTAAACTAATGACGGAGAATAAAAAGGAGAGTTTTTAACAGTTCTTTCTGAGAGTTTGATGTTCAGATTGATACCACTTGATGTCTGTATGGTAAATATGAAGGTATAGCCAGCAGCTGGTTAGCTTACCTTAGCATAAAGAGTGGAAACAGAGGGAAACAGCTAGCCAACAGTGAACAGAAATAACTGGCTGATATGAGTTAACATGTGAGTGAACAGAAGTGTTGTTCCAAACTGCAGAAACTCTTCATTAACTTGAGACACTCGTGAAATCTTCAAAGTGTCTCTGTGAATGATTAGCACCAGTAAACATACCACACATTAGTGTGTGTGTGGGGGGGCTTGTATTGCTATCATTCTGAGGACCAGTTTCAGTTATAAAAGAACATTTTAGCTGGACCTCAACTTCTTCATTGCATGGTTAAGACTCTGGTTTTCAGGCTCAGACTATTCACTTCTGGGGTCCAAAGACCGTGAAACCACTATGCTTGCGGGGTCCGACAGGTTTGTGAGGACCACACGTTTAAAGGTCCGTTTGAGGGTTAAGACTTGGATTTACGGTTAGAATTAGGTTGTGATGATTCAGGGTAAGGGACTAGGGAATGCATTATATCAGCAGTTCCCAACATGGGGGTCAGGAGCCCCACTATGGGTCACCAAAGCTTCACAGGGGGTCGTGTGCAGTTTATTAGTTGTTCTGTATTGTATTCTGTTATTGTTACACACTGAATTTAGTTTAGAATACAAAGGTTTTCCACCGATATAGTTACACAAGGATTTGTGTGTGTGTGTGTGTGTGTGTACTTACAGCACTTTGAGGTTGTAAAGGCCGGTGAACGCTCCTCTGGGGATGAACGACAGATCATTTCCTGCCAAACGCCTGAAACAGAGAGAGGCAGGAAGAGGGTTAAAGCTCCTGATGTATTTACAGTCTTTTTGTTCCTGAAATCCACCACATTTCAGCATAAAATAACAGATAATAACTAATACTACAAATAATATACAGTTGCACATGAGATTTGTTCATGTGTGCATAAGAGTAACATATCTACTTACAGCACAGCCTTAAAATCTGGCTATTACAGTAATAAAATGCTTTTTGAAGCTCAGACTGTTGTTGTTGACGTGGAGTTCATAAAAACTTGATCTCAGACTTATTCTTACTGAAGTCCAAATCTTCTTAAATTCGCAGTTGAATTCAGATTTTTTTGCCCCGCTGTGACGTTTTGACAGCATATAAGGTTGTTGGTTGCCAGGTTGTGGTGACAAATGGGTTGCAGGTTGATGATCTGGCAACTTTGGTGACCCCAGACAAACTCAATAAAGTTTAAAGGGGCATGCAAACTACGGGAGATCATCTATCATAGTAGCTGTCATGGTATTTGGAATGGTAATGGAGTATTTTTATGGTGGTAAAAGAATACTTCCTCCACCACGGCAAGTTACTTTTTATGCTAAAATTACAAAACAGACTGTGGCCTGGTGATATTTAGTAAATAGAATCAATTTTACAAGTAAAGCAAATCAGTAAATAGATATAAAATACATAAAAAGGGATTATACTGTACACCGTTAGCTGACACAATGATTATTTATGAATGTAAATCAATATGTTTGTTTCCCAGTAAACAGGACATTCCCAGTAAGTCTTCACCAGTAGAAAACATTGAGCTGTAATGGGTCCTGCAGCTCTGTTTGTTTTTAGAGGCCACACAGAGTTCAGCCAGTGCGTATGTACCCAGCATGCATCTCTGTGGTGTCCTATCGCCGTAGTGACGTTTCTCACGCCACGGTGACAAATATCACACACACACAGACACACATATAAACACACATAGCTGGCAGCAGAGCAGAACAGCAGTCAGAGTCATGTTCAGGTCTCTGTGAGGTCAGCTGTTCAAGGCTGAACCCTCTCTCTCTCTCTGGCTCTGTTTCTGGCTCTCTCTACCGCTCCGTCTCCCTCCGATGTGTTTTTACGTCGTCCAGAAACTTCTGTCTGGAGAGTTTAATGTTATGAAAGTGTTCATACATGATATGACACTGCTGATAGGTGAGGAGAGATGGGATTACATATCGTATCCTCGCAGATATCTGAGCTTGTCGCCCGCTCGGACGCCCTCACCAAGTATCATCCATCTCAAGTCTTTCATTTTAAGTTCATGAAGATATCTGAGGATCGAAATGTAGACAGACAGATTGGATCGAGAGTTTCAGCTCGCTTTTCAACTCCAAGACAACATATGAGCACTAAAACGTCTCAGTGTCCAACGTCTGGACGTAAGATCTCCACTAATGCTGGGAGATAAAAGACATGAATTAATTAATTTAAATCAGTTTCATCCTCCAGTCTGGACAAACGTTCAATCTGCAACATTTCCTCATTAAACAGTATATAAACTCTGGCTCTATGTTCTATATGTAGTTGAGTTCTTATATTATCCCAAATGTTTCCAACAATGTTCAAACTCAGAGAAATCTGTCATT